CAGTCTAATTTGCTGACAACTCCAGTCTAATTTGCTGACAACTCCAGTCTAATTTGCTGACAACTCCAGTCTAATTTGCTGACAACTCCAGTCTAATTTGCTGACAACTCCAGTCTAACTTGCTGACAACTCTAGTCTAATTTGCTGACAACTTTAGTCTCCTTTCATTTCGGCTAACAAAGTTAATCGACTGCATAGAAAAAGACTAAAAAATTGTTGTCAGCAAAATAATGAGGGGGTGGACGATGTACAGTTCACCGGTTCTGATTTGTATGTTCAACTTACATTTGATTTTCAGAAGCCGCCTAAACATTTTTCTGAATTTACTTTCAAAACTGTTCAGCATAAAGCTGTTTCATACATTAAAATTTTCGTGTCTTGTTCCGATTATTTGCAAGGTTTTTCTACAAATGTTGAGAATTTTTAAAACAAGTTCATAAAAGGCTGGTGTCTTCAAACATGTGATAAAAAGGGATTTCTAGCCGAGTTTGTTAGTTGGTCATCCTAATGACCACCCCTGTTTTACAGAATTCAACCGCCTTGAAAATAACAATAATGGTACACAAAAAATGCAATAACTTGAATGCGTGTCTTCCAGTGATGTAAGAAAGTTATTCCAATCACAATAGGTTCTAATGTATTACTGTCGAAGCTTGACGTGAAGTTCAGTTTTACCCTTGGATTAAATCATGTATCCACTAGTAAAAGGGATGGTAATATATATACCATCTCTTTTACTAGTAGATACATGATTTATTCCAAGGGTAAAACTGGACTTCACGTCAAGCTTCGACAGTAATACATTAATAATGTCAGTCCTTCCAATGCTCCTATGTTCATACTTTTTTAAATTCTCACTGTTCTTCCCAATTTTTCGTCAAAAATTCATCTACTTTCGATTATTTGGGAGGGAGGAGTTGTGTGTGACCATTTGTAGCAGAAACATGAGTGACTTTCTGCAAATCTTATTGGTATCAACCCCTAGATGATTACGTCATTAAGTACTAAATATTTATTAATTACCATCCACCTGAATGTCATTTCACAATATGCCCAATTAGAATTTGCCCTCATTTTTCTTTAACTTGCCCCTCTAATTAGCGCTATGTTTCTTTGATGTACCATTAGAAGGCCTGCCATCCATCAATTTTAAACTAATAAAACAGACTGTGGAACTGAAAATCAAAGTATTTTGTGATTACTCACGAGCAGTCAAGGTTTAACCAGCAACATCGTTGTTACAGAAATTATAAATACATTTGAAAAAAAAAAAGGGCAGCAATAACTTCATAAAAAAGTTTTAAATTTTAATGTGTTTTCCCTAAAAAAGCTTTGACGTTGGTTACATTGATTTATGAAAATTATGGGTTAGGTATAAGCACTAACTCTCATGATACAAATTTCAGTTTAACTGTGACATAAGATTATATAAAATAAAGAAATATTAGTTACTAGTAATTCTGGTAAATAATGTGGAATGTCGTGGATGACAAGTAAGGCAGAAAAGATAAACCCACTAATAGCTGGAGATTCTTGGTTTTTGGGTGTATATTTCCAAAAGAGTCGCGAAAGTTAAGGCACAAAGAGAGAGACAAGACATTAGTTTATAGAAAACCAATTTTCAATGACTTACACTTAACAATACTCCACTAAGACAATACAAGTGATTGTGTGTGCTTTGACGTTATAAATAGAAAGTGTAAGACCAGCAAGTTAATCCGAGTGAAATCAAACCGCTAAATAAAAATATTCCAATGTTACGATACTCTCACTTTGTGTTAATACACTAGAACTGTCAAACTCAAGATGTCACCTACAAAAGAACTTCGCTTAAAAACGACTCGCCCTGCATGGTCAGGTGTTTAGGGCGCTCGACTCGCAGTCTGAGGGTTGCGGGTTCAAATCCCCGTCACAACAAACATGCTCAGCCGTGAGGGCGTTATAATGTGACGGTCAATCCCAATATTCGTTGGTAAAAGAGTTGGCGGTGGGTGGTGATGATTAGCTGCCTTCCCTCTATTCTTACACTGCTAAATTAGGGATGGCTAGCGCAGATAGCCTTCGTGTAGCTTTGCGCAAAATTTAAAAAAACGACTCTAATACTAGCGGAGCTAACGCTCTACTAACTATGCTTCACATTTAATATGAAGTTAACTAAGCTCCTTCGCGTACGGTGAACACAAGTGACTTTGAATCACTGACAAGAATCGTATGGTGCTCGCCCTAGACAAAACGAAAATATACAATAAAGCTAAGTTCCAGGAAAGTGAACACTTAACACAACACGATAACTTAAGTAGCTCTCCGGAAATAAAATATATAGATACGAACCTGCAGAAACAAATCTAATGAGAGAACTTTAAATGTTAAACAAAAGGAAGACATCGGCGTCTGCTGAACAACTTAACAGAATCAACCAACACATGAAAATCTACATCAATATATATCAAATCTCTAATTCTGGTGTAAACTATGTGTAATTCTGTATAACTGCTCTAACAGCCCCAACACTATAAATACGCCAATAAATCCTCAAGTTCTTGACATAAGAAAACAGTGATTGGTGCTTGTTAGATCAGTTGGCCAACGGGCAGTGAAGATCAAGGACAAGTTCTTGTTATATAATTCGCTCATTAATTAAAAACCACGTTGTTATTTTTATAAGATAATCGGTCGAAATAGGCTTCTCAATCACCACTCGTGTGCCTCTCAAGGAAAGTGAAAGTTAAAAACTGACTGGAATACCACTGCGTTCCATCGGGGGAGCTATGAAAAACAACCTAATTTCAAAATGTTTACTTTTTATGTAAAGGAGTGGAAAATATATAGTACGTCCCCAAACTACAATAATATATATATACAAAGTCAGTAACGAGTGTCTGTTCTTGTGTGGTTTTGAATTTCGCGTGAAGCTACACAAGGGCTCTCTGTGCTAGCCTTCCTAATTTAGCGGTGTAAGACTAGAGGGAAGGCAGCTGGTCATCATCACCTGTCGTCAACTCTTGGGCGAGCATGTTTGGGGGATGGGGATTCGAACCCGCGACCCTTTGATTGCGAGTCGAGCGCCCTAACCCCTTGACCATGCTTGGCCTCTTGTGTGGTACAACTTGTACATTTGTATGTTATGCACAATGTAATACCTGT